GAGAGAATTATATTAAGTGAAACAAGTCAGGCACAGAAAGAGAAATACCACATTCTCACTTATTGGTGGGAGCTAAAAATAAATAAATAAATTCACACACACAAAAAAAAAATCGGGGAGGGGGGGGGAGAAGACATAACAATTTCAATTCCTTGAAGTTGATATGACAAGCAAACAGAAAGGACATTGTTGGGTGGGAGGGGGGAGAGGGAGGTGGAAGGGAGGTTTCAGTAATGGGCCACAATAATCAACCACATTGTACATCGACAAAATAAAAAAAATTTAAAAATTAAATAAAAATAAGGGTTTTTTAAAAATATATATATATGCAATCATCCAGTCTCCTTTTCCAATAGAAGCTTTAGCAAAAAGTTTCCAGTAAGTTTCCATATATTTCATAGCCTATAGATGAGCCCAACAAATATCACTTAATGAGTGCTTATTATGATGCACATGTGTTTATAATTTACACACTTCATGTAGGGAAATTGTGGCAAAAGTTTGTTGCAAAAAGGGCTAGAAGAAAATGTAGACAGTGAACAGTGGTTGGATTTGCTGGCGTAGCAAAATGGTAGATAACGTTTTTTTCCTTTTAAAGTTAGGGTCCTTGTAATCTTGCTACAGTGATATTTTGAAATGTCTTTTGGGAAAAAAGAAAACTCTACTTTGAAAAAAGCATGTCTGGTGAATGAGAGACATTTTTAAAAGGCACTTGGAAATAATGATCTGTGTAGAGATAATGCAAATCATAACAGGAATGTGTGATGTGCTTAAAAATATAGGCAATGATGCGAAATGCAGAGGGGAAATGTCTCTTGGAAACAGATCATTGTCGGGACAATAGGCTAGAAGTGGACTGTCCCTATATCTTCCATGGCACATAACTCTTTTTTCTTACTAGGGAAGAGGAACTGAGACCACGTACTGGCTGACTGGGATGAAGGACCAGAAGTACAACCTGCCAACCCCTCCGACTGTGTAAGCTTCTGGGTATGGCGGGAGGGAGAGGGGACTCGACGGTCTTGGCACTGTAGGTTGTGCTACATACAGCCGGTTGAAGTTGGCAAGTGCCTTGCAAGTGGCAATGACGTATTGAATACACGGCAAGGGAATGTACACATGAGAAACTTTAGAAATCACCCTTCTCAGACCTCTAGAAACTGTACTGAAAGCCTGCATGTTCCCAAGCCCTCAGTCGAACAGCGGCTGCCTATCTGGAACATGGACTTTCTTCCATGAATCAGATGTGTGTTCTCAGTGAAATAATTACCTTTTACTCTGGAGTCTTATGCCAACAGCTGTTCCAGGGAACTTCCACCTGGAAAAAGTAGGAATGAATAGACTATCTAGAACTTGAGGGTTTTTTTCTTATTTCATTTATTTTGTTTTTGTTTTGTTTACTGTCTCTCTTTCCTTCTGTATTCATGACAGGATTTTTTAATTGTCACAATTGTCTTAAATACTTTATCTTGTGTCAAGCTAGACAACTGCGCCACTTGTTGGGTTGAAGCAACAGCTACACTAATTGTATGGCTAGGCATTTCATAACTAAAGCTAAAATGTTTCAGGGGCCGGCCCGGTGGCTCACTGAATAAGTGCGCTGCTTGGGAAGCGCGGCGGCGCTCCCGCCCGAGGGTTCAGATCCCACATACAGACCGGTTCCCGCTCACTGGCTGAGCGAGGCGCGGGAGCAGCACCGAGGGTTGCAATCCCATTGCCGGTCCCCGGTCTGGTACGGGGGCAACACTGAGGGTTGCGATCCGTTGCCGGACACGGAAAAAGATAAAAAAGACAAAAAAAAAAATGTTTCAGGACTAGGGCTCAAAAACTCTTCAAAAGCCCATTGTACAGACTGGGTCACCAGGCCCCTCATATGCAAGGCTGGGTCACCAAATGCCTCACATGCCTGTCTGGGTCACCAGACCCCTCACATGCAGGTCCATGTTAAGGTAACTAGAAAAGATCCTGGAAGGCACTGGAAGACATGATCTCAGTCCTCAGCAATGGCAGCAGCAGCTTAAAGGTCCAGCAGCAGCAGAAGCAGCAGCGTCAGTGGCTTCTCGGGGCATCCCAGGGTCACTGGCAGTAACAGCTTGCAGTGACAGCTTGCAGCAACAGCCTCCAGCAGCAGTAGCAGCCTCTGTGTGACCCTTGGGGGGCACCTCAGAGGCAGGGGGCCTTGTGGATCAGAGCCACTCAACCTTTATACTTAAGTCCACAACCCAGGACACCTGGGTGCACATGTACAATTACATTAGACAATAACCAAGGAACACCTGGGCGCATGTGCATATTTACATCAAATGTTCAGCAAGATTCTGAACATCTGAGGGGCCCTGACCATTTTCCTGTATTTTCCCAACACTACGTTAAAGTATACTTAACTCATAGTTCATGTTTATATGAAGAATCAAAGTTTAATGTTTGCTGAGTCTGCATATGTGTTTGTACATATTCTGCTCATTTTACTGAAATGCACCATCTCGTCCTCATCTTGTGCTTACCGAAAAACTGACTAAATTTACCCAAATTGAGGCCTGGCAAAGCTAGTGATGTGTTCCAGGCTTGCTCAGGAGAACAGAAGATGGTTCAGAGCTTGCCTCATGCGTGTCTGGTTCTCTCAGTATTGAGGCCAAGAGGCTCTTTGCATTTCAAAACACTTCTGTCTACATCTTTCTGCTGAGCCACCTGCTGAAAATGGGACCTCCCCCAGCCCCAAGACTATGGTTCTGAGTCTTACATGGAGGCTGTGTTTTCCCTGAGATGAGGAAGATAAAGTTTCAGGTCTAACTAACAGGTTTCAGTTCAAGTTGTCATCCAGTTGCATATTGGCAGACGTTACAGCAACCAGTCACGTGGATGTTGCCATGGCTTTATGGTCGAGAAACCCTGTTTTGCAGATGCCTACCTAGATGCCAGACCCAGACAGATGGCAAGTTGCTAAAGATGCCAAAACACCCCAGATCTTCCCTGGGGCACAGGAGATCTGGTTCCTTACGAGGTGTGTCCTAGGTCCATTCCAAACTCTTAAAACCCTCCACCACCTGAGCCCTCCCCAAACAAGAGTCACATTCGTAGGTATGTGTGGGACCAATGAGTTTTCAGGATTGTATGGCAGGTGCTTAGCATTCTCCCAGCTTCTGTTCCCCTTCCTACAGTAGCACACATAGGCCTATATCCTCCCAACCGTGCCTCCAAATTCCACAGCACATTGTTTCCCTTTGAAACTAAAGTCTGATTTCCTGTTTGAAATATATTTTGCTTATTCTACGACTACACATTGCAGGGATGAAGTTCTTTAAGTTTCTCAAAGGCAAGTGTCATTTTGTACTCTTTGGAGTTCCTATGTCTAGCACAGAGTAGGCATGTAATAAATAATTGGGGAACTGAACTGATGATTCTGGAGCTAAGGAATACTCTGGGTGAATTGCTGAGAAGTTCCATTTTCTCTCCCCACTCTCTTTCCAGGGAGAATCAGAAGCGTTTGCAAGTGGAATTTTCAGACATGATTGCCAACTGTTTACAGAAAAGACAGGCTGCAGGGATAACACACCGAAAACCAAAACGGGTAGCCAGCTATAAAAAAGGCACTCTGGAATATTTGCAACTGAACACCACAGACACGGACAGCACCTATTTTTGAAACTAAATGAGATGTAAGGACTCGTACAAATTAGATACAGCTTCATTTAGGCAACGACCTCAAGTGTCCTGAAAGCCTGCATTTTCCTAAGACCTCAGTGAAACAGAAAAATACTTAGCCTTGGTTGTCCTGTCTGGAACATGGACTTTCTTCCATGAATCAGATGTGCGTTCTCAGTGAAATAATTACCTTTTACGCTGCAGGCTTTTGCCAACAGCCATTCTGGGGAACTTCCACCTGGAAAAGAGGAGGAATGAAAAGACTATATGGAACTTGAGGAGATTTTGTTCTTATTTCATTTATTTTGTTTTTGTTTTGTTTACTGGCTCTTTTTCCTTCCGTATTCATGACAGGATTTTTTAATTGTCACAATTATATCTTAAATACCTTATCTCCATTAAGGATACTTAACTCATAATTTTTACAGAAAATATGCTATATATTAGACAAGAATAAAAGTTAAAATGTACTGAGTCTCTATGTAGGTGCTTATATGTAACTTCTCATTTTCCTGGAATGCACCAGTCCTCAACTGTGCTTGCCAAAAAATGAAATTCCCTCACACTGAAGCCTGGCAAAGCTAGCATTGAACCTTGAAGAACCTTGAAGGTCAGTATCACTTGCTGCATAGGAGAATTTTGACCAAGGCATTGTCTTGGCTGGTCCACTTAGCAATGTGGACACATGATGCCAGTAATGGCAGTGACCTAAAAATGGAACCCAGGCAAGGGCTAAATTCCTGCACTGCTCTTTTCTAGCTGTAAAATAATCAGTGTCTCTAAGCTCTTGATGTTTCATCAGTAAACCATGAATCATAATACCCACCTAAGATTTTCTTTTTTTAAGGAAACTTGCCAAGGACTTAGCACAGTGTCAGTCACATAGTAAGTTCTCAGCAAATAATCTCTACCTTCCACCTTAGCCCTCTCAACTTGCTTTATAAATCAGAATGAATGATTCTCAAACCCAGGACCTTCATATGTGCTAAATATATGTAAGATTATTTTTTAACAATTGATCATAAAAGTTTTTAAATGTATACAAAAGCAGAGGGAATAGTTACTAAGTCCTCATATATTTATTATAAATTTCAAGAATTATCAATATTTTCCAAGTCTTGTTTCATCTATCTTTCACCAACTTTGTTTTGCTGGGGTATTTTAAAGGAAATTTCAAATATTATATCTTTCACCTATTAATACCTCAGCACACCTTTTTAACACAAGATTGACAAACTTTTTTCTTTAACACAAGATTTTTAAACTTTTTTAAAGGGCCAGATAGTAAATATTTCGTGCTTTGTGGGCCAGACTGTGCCTGTTTTAATTACTCACCTCTGCTGCTGGAGCACAAAAGCTGAAAGAGACAATATGTAAGCAAGTGATCATGCCATGTTCCAATAAAATTTTATTTACAAAAACAGATGGCAAGGGATGGAAGGTTAGCTCAGTTTGTTAGAACTCAGTGTTATAGCACTGAGGTCAAGGGTTTGGATCCTTGTACCTGCCAACCACCAAAAAAAAAGACGGTGGACTGGTGGACTGTTTACTCACCTCTGCTTTAGCAGGTAAATAATTTCTTAAAACATAGCTAAAATACCATTACCACATCAAATGAATTTAATGATAATTTCATAATATCAATTAATAACAAGTCCATATATATTAAAATTTCTCTGGTTGTTTCAATTTTTTTTTTTTTGATTAATACAAATCAGGATCCAAAAAGATTCATACATTGTATGTGGTTGAAATGTCACTCTAGTCTCTTTTAGCCTATGACAGTTCCATACATACTTTCTTCTCATGACATTTATTTGTTGAAGAAACTGAATCATTTTCCCTACATGGTTTCACACGTTGAATTTAGCTGATTGATTATTCATGCTTATGTTTAATTTGTTCATATATTTTTTATATTTACATCTAGTATTTACATCTAGAGGATGATAAGGTTCAGGTTCAATATTTGTTCAAGAACATTTACATAGCCAATGTCCCTAGGGAGAATTTAGGCATAGAGAATAATACTTTGTGATTCAGCTCTGATTATTGGTAATGAGACTAGATTATGACCCCATACTTGGTACAAGTTTTAATTTCCTCTTCTCACTTCAAACCCCCAAAATGACAGAAAACATTATCTATATAAAGTATCAGGAAACAGGAATGTCCTCGGTGAACCAGAAATTATGAGCCAGTACTAAAAGACAGAAGACAGATGCGATCAGATTAAATGAGGAAATGGTAGCCCAAAACATGTGTAGAAAAGGACTTATGGAAAAGGTAGGAAAAGCTCTGGGGGTGTCCAAGCTCAGAGAGAGTAGAAAAGGGGAGCAAGAGAGAATCTTGTTGCAACTGTCAAGGTTACAAGTTGGGGTCCAGTTGCAGCAGCCAGCTGGTTTGGCTTCTGCCCCCTCCATTCCAGCAGCAGACATTGAAGGCATCTCTTCCCAAATGGGAATTGTGTCTGTAGGTTCTTGGATATCTGGTCATATTCAGAAAGAGTCAGGGAGCCCCGACCCCAGCAAATATACTGGCATGCACCACCTGGCAACACATATGCCCATCCCTGCAACCTCAACTTTGAAAAACTAACACAGAGCTCATGGACAGGCTAATGAGAAATCTCAAATACAAAGAATCAAGCACAGACATTTTTGAAGAAATGAAAGAAAGGTACTGATCACAACAGAGAATTAACAGTCAATAGGGCAAAAAGAAAGTCTTTTATAATATGTATAATTAATATTCCAAGACAAATGTGAGTGGATATTACATCTATTAAATTAAAAATATGAGAGATTTGGGTAATTTAATTAGTATTGAAATTTTTAAAATGCAGAAGATAAATTGAAAAGAAAAATAAACTGTGTTGAGGAGAGAATTATGGAATCAAAATTAAAGTGAGGAGTGTTCCCAGGACAGGGATGAAGAATATATATATATATTCCTCCAACCAACAAAGTTGTTTTGCAACTTTGTCAAAATCAGTTGGCCATACATGGTAACACATATATATGTATTCTTGAAAAAACAAGAATGTTTTTTCATTCTTACATATATGTAAGATATGTAGGGTAGTTCAAGATGTTCCAATATTGCATAAATGGAGTTCCAGGAAAAACAGAGATTACAAAGGGAGAAAGAAAAATTATAGGGGAAAAATTTTCAGAATTGGAAAAAAAAAAATACAAGTCACCCAGAGGTGAATTTAAAAACAAAATAGACCTACCCATAGATACATGTGGTGAAGCTATAGAACACACTAAAAGCTTCTAGATGAAAGGAAAAACCTCAAAGCAACAGAATTAGACTAGAATTACATCTTCACCAACAATACTACATGTAGAAAATATTGAACAATAGATTCACAATTCTGAAGAAAATGCTTATATGCTTATAAGCCAAGAATTATTTTCACACATGCAAGAGCTCAGAAACTTTATCACCCATGAGCTCTATCTGAAAGAAATACAAAAGGAAGTACTCTGTAAAAACAAGAAATGAATTCAAGAGGAAGGCAGGAAATACTAGAATCAATTTTTTATACCTCTGATATATGCTCTTCTTGAAAACATACAATGTATAACTTTAAAATATTAAAATAATAATACAATTGAATCAATTAGACATGTATTTTTAGTACCATATATCCAGTATCAAAAAGGTGAATTAGGACGTAAAAGGAGAAAACACAGTGTTGCCCTGTTCTCCTTTTATGTAATCCTTTGGAAAACAATGAAAATAATAAATTATAAAGGAGAAAACAAACAAAAACCCTCAAAATTTTAAACTACAAAATATGATGCATTCCTGTTCAAAAACTGATATTTGGAACAATATAAGGGAGGAGCCTCAAACCTCAAGCAAAAAAGATTTCCTTCAAGGGTCATATCCTTTCAGTATCCTGAAAGGCTTTGTGTTTATCCATGGACTGAGGTGACCAGATCTAGGCCATGAAGAAGCAGGAAATGACCTTGTAAATATTATTTTAAAACCTCAGAATGGCAAAGAAACTATCTTGACATAGTATTTCTAGATATAAACATACTATTCTATTGAAGGCGATGCCAGAGCGAAGCAGGGGAAGGAGGGAGGGAAAGGCAGTAATCACCATAGCAACAGAAAGATGCTGTATTTTAAAGTGCTCAGCTATGAATTATATTAACCATCCAGTGGTACTACTTAATGTAGTCTAATGGAAATAAAATGTGAGCCACATATGTATATTTCTTAGTTTTTTATTTTGAAAAAATAATGGATTCATAGGAAGTCACAAAAATAGTACACAGAGAACTTTTGGTCCAGACAAGATGGTGTAGACTCATTTCTCTCTGATCTTCCCCTCTAAGGACAACTATAGACCCATAATATAATGCAAGAAACGAACAGAATTCAGAGAGGTGGAAAGAGGAAGACAGACTTATTAGGGACCCCAAGAATGGCAGAACAACATTCCAGCAGACTGTGTGACTTCCTTCCACCCAACTAAAGAAGGCAAGCTAAGTCTGGCATTTCCTAACCTCCAGCCAACCAACAGAATTGTTTTGCAACTTTGTCAAAATCAGTTGAACATACATGGGTGACTCCATATCTGGCTTCTGTATTTTGTGCCATTGATCTATGTGTCTATCTTTCTTACAGTGCCACATAGTCTTAATTACTATAACTAAACAATAAGCCGTAAAATCAAAAAGAGCGCTTCTTCCCACTTTATTCTTCTTTGTAAAATTGTCTCAGCTATTATAGTTCCTTTGCCTCTCCATATAAATTTTAAAACAAGCTTGTCTATGTCTATAATAATACTCGGTAGGGGTTGACATCATTTGAATTAAGCCAACATATCAATCTGGAGAGAACTGATATCTTGGTTGTGTTGAGTCTTCTAAGCCATGAGCATGGTATGTCTTACCATTTATTTAGATTGTTTTCATGTATGTAATGTAAATTTTCTAACAGTCACATTTTTTTAGGGTAAAAATAAACAGGTAAATTATTTTAATAATATATTTAATTAAACCAGTATACTCAGAGTATTATCATTTCAACATGAAATCAATATAAAATTATTACTTAGAACTTTTTATGGTAAATATTGAAAAGCAGAATATATTTTACACTACATCTCAATTCAAACTAGGCAAATTAAGTGTTTAATGGTCACATATTACTATTCACTACTAGTTATTGGACAGCACCACTCTAGAATGCCAAAAACTTGGAAACTTTCTTTTTCAGGGAAAGGAAAGGAAACTATAGATTTAGTGACAGAGTAAGAGAATCTATTTACATTCCCAAGAGACATACCAGATACAGGTATAACATGGTAT